TTAAGGTTAGGGTAAGAATATTAAGGTAAGCCAATCAGAGGCGGAGTCGGGCGGGTCACGCTATGCCATGGTAGGAAAAAAACAGTATAGCCACCAGGAGGGTTCTATGACATTATTCCGCATAATTATTAGCCATGCACTTCTGCTTGTTGCAGGAAGAGTGTGTATATTCAGAGCAATGAGCCTTTGGAACAATGGTCGTTTGTTTTCGGGATAACAGGCTGTCGGACAAATGGGCTTTTGGTCCAATGGGATATTTTTCGCACTATTGGGGTTTCTGGAATAATGGGCAGTCGGAACAATAGCCTGGCAGACGTAGTGAAGAACATTTGAGAAAAGCGGTTCATATCTTGTGTCCGGCATGTTGCTTGGTGTAGGTAACTAAAACCCTTGGCTGCGGTTGGATAATGATTTAAGTTTAATATTGAAGAAATCAATGTGTCAGGTCTTGAGCATTGACTTCTTCAATAGCTAATCAACATACAAATCTTCCCAAACTTTCACCAATTGATTTGAGTTCATGAAAACATGAATAATGTTACCTAATATAAAAAAAAATAATTTCAATATATTCCATGCAGTGATGTTACATAATCTAAAGGTAGTAATAAGAGTACTGGTTAAAGACTGTTTATAGGAAGTGGATGTAGTCATTGTGACGTCACCCATTGGTTTGTGGACTACGGTTTTGAAGCCTCACGTTCTGCATTTTGCTGGTCCCCATCTTGGTTTTTGGCCGACACCATCTTATTTTTTGCAACCAGAAATGACATAAGAGGGTGGAGCTACGTACATTTTAATGCTGATGAAGACTTTTGTAGGTGACCAAGTTGTTACAATTAATCTTCATGGACTAAAAACACACTGTGAAAGGGTTGAAGTTGTAAGACGAAAACACGGACAACTCCCGGAGCGAACAACGCTGTGGTAGCGACCTGTCAATCACAAGGTAGCCACGCCCTAAAGCATACCCTGCTTTATGGTCTGTTTTACTCGAAATGGGACTATAATTTACAAAATGAACATCATGCTGTATCGAAGAACACTTGGAACTAGAGATTGAGACCATAGACTAACAATGTCTACTGATGTAATTAATTAAGTGATAATTAGGGTCATTTTCTCATAGACTTCTATACAATCAGACTTCTTTTTACAAACAGAGGAATCGCCCCCTTCTGACCATTAGAAATAATGCCAGTTTAAGACACTTCGGCATTGGCTTCACTTTTCAGAGCCAGAGGTTGCTGCCTGCATGATACAGATTGCTTGTTAATATCAGGTGTAAATGGGGTCAATGAGAAAGACACCCAGGAGTAAAAAACTGCAGATTGAGAACAAACCACAGAAAGAAAATTCCTCACCCATTAAATCACCAATGTTCCTCTGTGTCTCTCTCACTCTCTGTATCCTCTGTCCCTCATATTCTCTCATTTCCGTTTTCTCTCTCACATGACTGTCAATATAAGCGAACGAGGCCAGAGGGAGACATCAGGAATTCCAGTTGGGCCTACAGGGCATTATGCAATCACACAGAATGACAAACATGTAATCTATAAATTAATCGAATACCTTCCTACAGTCTTACATTAGGTCTCATCTGTCAGCCTGTTATGCACGACTGTCCCACAATGTAGCACCATCCAGCCTCTTCACTCAACTCCACACCCTCACACTTCTCTTAAGGTGACAATCAGAAACACGCGTACACCGACCTGCTCATGGAACTCGATCCCCATGCTCAGAGTATTGATCAGAATGGCGATCATAATCCCTCGTCCGAAGTACTTGCTGTCCACGATCTTCCGGAACGTGTCGCACACGAGCCTCCAGAAGTGCACCACCTTCGCTACCGTTTTGCCCAGACTGCAGCGCTGCTTCTTGGGCTGCCGGCTGTCCCTCCTGTCCTTGTGGTGGAGGTCCTGGGTGAACTCGTATATGCCATCGCTGTCGGAGTCCCCGGGGGTCTCGTTGCCCTCTGACTCGTTGGCCAGGGCCTTGGCGCAGTAGGGGCAACTCTCGGGGTCCAATGTCATGGCGGCCGTGTCCATGGCACTGCTGGTGGTGCTGAGGTCACGAGCCGACAGCTGGCAGGAGAGCTGGGCTGCAGCCGAGTGAGAAAAAGGTCAGATGGAGAAACTGAGACGAAGAGAGGAGAGCTGCAGTGAAATCAGAGTGATTGATTGAGAAATAACATAAAATGAATTGCTTTAAACAAATTGTCAAGTCCGATGAAATAAATCTTGTTGTGAACAACAACCTTTTTGGAGTTGCGTGCGTGTCAGAGGGAGTGTTTGATAGTGATGGGCAGTGTGTGCTATGAGTAATGCCTTGTCTCTACAGGCGGTGCTGCAGCCAGTTGGGCTGGCTGCCAGCTTTTCAACTGTCTGTACAACCTGAACAGACCTGGCCTGACTTTTTTTGCTGAGCCCACTGCCGTTTCAGAACTTGGCCCGGGCCAGACAGGAGCTGGCTGTGAGCTTTGACATGAGGGATTAACATTTATTGACTCTGGACAGCGGTAAAGTTTGAGGCTCAATCACAACAAACCAATACCGTACTCCAAATGGTTGATTGCAGAAAAAAGAACACTTCCAGTGGTGTGTCCCTTGATTTGTTTCAACAGTGATATGGAAATTAAGCACAGATTCTGACTGAATGAGATACTCTTGTCATTTTCAAACGCAATTTTGCCTTCCAAGTTTTTTTTCCTAATGGGAATACTGAGCAAACACTCAGCTAAGCAAAACACAAAGGAATGCAGCTAATGGAGTTAATCAAACACTTCATGATTTTCAATCATGATCATGATTTTCAATGCAATGTATCTGTGACCACAGCCCTGTGAGTTTGCGGAGATTCGTCTACCTGCAGGAGCGCGCGTGTCCACCAGGCTCGATGGCCGTCTCTCCAGGGACATGGGTGGGATGTTCAGGTTGAAGCTGATGTTGGTCAGAGTGCTGGCAGCAGCACTCCCTCGTCTGGACTCCGCCAGGGCTCGAGCCTGCAGAGTGGGGTAGTTCTTGGGCCCTGGAGCCGCAAAAGGTACAGAGTTCCTCTTCATTGCCCGAGACATGGGAGATGGGGCGAGGGAGGAGGGGCCTGGTGTCGGCCCCAGGTTCGCGGGCGAGGGGCTGCAGCGGAGAGCTTCTGTGTGGAACACACTGCGAACTGAGGCATTGGCAGCTCCCTCAGAAAGTTTGGACAAAATGGCCAGGTTTGAGTCAGAGGTGGCTGCCGTCATCGAAGGCGGCACGGCTAATGCAAGCTGACCAGCGCTGGTGGTTGCCACGAGGGCCCCTCCGTTGTTGTTATGTGCACCAGCCTCAAAATCCCGACCCTCCAGACACCGCACGCCCCCTCCACCCCTTACGCTGCCATTACCCAGGTGGTAGTGGTGGTGGTGGTGGTGGTGGTGCGCCATATGATGAACCAACACAGATCCCTGTCTGGAGGACTTCCTCCTCCTTCTCTGGCTCCGCTGGGGCTCCGTGACCAGGGGCGAGGCGGCGATATTGAGCCCGGCGCGGCGAGCCAACATCCTGCAGATACGGGCCGCTTGTCTGGCCCCCTTGTTGACGACGTGAACCAGGTACTTGAGCAGTTCGTCGTAGCAGGAGCCCGGCTCGGAGAGGGAGGCCAGGGTGCTGGCGTTGGACAGGAAGCGCACCCGTTGCTCCTTCATCAGCTGACTCTCCCTCTGCTTGGTCTCCGAGAACTGCGTGGCGATGACCACCAGGCACAGGTTGATCATGAAGAATGAGCCAATCTGAGGACAAGGAGGGGTGGGAGCGACATTGTTATTCACACGCTCGCACGCGACTGACCCACTTGTTCAATCATCAGCGGACACACTGTCACACACAGCACACACAGCTGGTGGCCCCGTGAAGTGGCACTTACGATGATGAGTAGGATGAAGTAGATGAAGTTGTAGAAGGAGTGAGCATCCATCACAAAGTACATGATGTCTACCCAGCCCTCCAGAGTGATCACCTGAAGAGGAACACGGGCAGAGGACAGGAATATAGAGGGACAAGGAGAAGAAAAAAAGAAAACAGGGATCAGACAACCCAAACAAGGAGAAGGGAATAACAACAGGAACAAAAAGAGATTTACAGTCCGGAGTGTTCCAATACTCAGCAGAAGACTAATCACCAACATTTCTCTAGTTTGCTTTACCCCACAGCAGAGCACTTGTGGGGGAACTGATCTCCAATCTGGTTCTCGTCCTCCAAAGTTACCCCCCTCAGTTAAACGGGGATGAATGGACTCTCCAACCAGAAGGCTTTACAGATGATGTGAAGGTAGCAAGCAAATGGTGTGGGAGAAAAGTGGTGTGTCTGTGGTGACCTGCTAATCCTGTAAGCGCTATTTCTCTGATACGCCAGCCACAATTACCCTCATACCTCTTTGTCTCCATCTTGTTTAATAGGCTTGGAAGTCAGCCAGATGCTACTTACTGTATGTGCCTCATGGCAAAATCCTTTTCCGTTTGTGTGTGAACGGCCGTTTTACCTGAAAGATGGCAATCCACGCGTAGCAGATGTTGTCGAAGTTGATGGCTCCCTTGAAGGGGTTGACCAGACCGGCAGTGCAGTTGTTGTAGTACTGGTTCCAGTTGACGCAGGTGGTGTTGTCGGTGCTGTTGTAAAACTCCGAGCCCAGGGTGCACTGCAGGCCTCCCTCCTCGTACACCTTGGGCATCGAGCTGCAGTCCCTCATGCCGTTGTCTCCGGGCTCGGAGCAGATGAAGGGGTTCTCGTCGTCGTTTTTGGTGTGGTAGTACTTCTCCAGCCCCACAGAGAGAGGGCTTCGGGGAAAGAAACAGAGAGAACATTGCAGGAGTTAGCCTACGCCGGCTCTCGTGAGTAGACAAATGTAGAGAGAGGTGCACTTAAAGTTGGAAGTAGATTGGTGTTTTTAAGTATTACTGGCATCTGTATTAAAGGTCGTTCTTTCTGGTGTCAAAAAATGACCCTTTTGGTCTCTTCACCCAACTTTTGGTACATTTAATATGAAGTATAATAAAGTATTTTAAGTAAAGAAGAGTCAGAAAACTGGGCCCGAATGAGCAAGGGGGTCTTTCATTGCTTCTCCATTTCGATGAATAAGCAGAAGAATATGTTATTTCTTCATTCAAAAGTTATATAATCTTGTTTTAAGTATCGCCTAACAACTTCAATAAGGTCTAAAAAGATACCCTTGGGTCAGGCACTCCCGACAAACAGAGAGAAAAAAGTTTGTATAATATATTAAAATGACTTGATCAACAACAGTAATGACAGAGAATTCTTCTTTCATCAAAACAAATGTAGCGATAGTTAAAAACTGTGACGCCACAAAACATCTAGTCACAAGGATAGCAAAGCATTAAAAGCTAAATCACATGTCAAACATTTGTTCTTCACCTGGGTTTCACCCCAGAACATTTACAAAAGGAGAATGACATGTCTGTCCTCGGGGAACCATCTTTGATCAACCGTAACAACACTTTTGCTGCCAAGTCGAAGGCAGTTGAAGAATGAAGCGGCGATTCTGCCTTTGGATTTTTGGCATTCACTGGGTGGAATTTAAAGTGGATCAACTTTAAAGCCCTAAAGTCTACAGGTTTTAATCCCATGTAAATCCTCCAGCAGCTGATTTTTTACTGATTTCCAGTCCCTTCCAACAGAAAGGAGGAACTAATCAACGAAGCCAGCTGTAATTGTGTTGACAAACCTGGGGGCTGAACAGCTGGGGAGACCCCCGCGCGGTTGCATTGTGTGAGACGAGCAAAAACGTTTGTTCGCCTGCCTGCTTTTCCCACCTCTTGGCATATCTGTTACAGAGCCCTCCTCTGCCTGGAATAACTGGTGTGTGTGTGTGTGTGTGTGTGTCTGGTGATTGTGTGATAATCACCAGATTATCACACCTGTCTGTAAACACACATTCCGCTGCTCGGCGGCATTTATTAATTGCATAGTAGCCCTCGAACACTTGGAGGGACCAGACCAGACCCCACTACAGGACCACGGCGATGTGATTACAAGATAAATTGAAAGCAGGCGTGAACAAAGATTTGTTTTTGACTTTGGACATAGAGCCAGACTATTACGCCATCCATCTGATGCTGAAATACAGACCTTTCTGATGCAGACGAGAAAAATTGATGATGATGACAAAAAAAATAAAACATTCTGCCAGCTCACCAAAGCCATTATGCATGGTCTTAAATTACAGCTGTGAGGAGTCATAAATCCTACAAAGAGTAATGAAGGATGACGCTGGGAACATGAATAAGTCACGGGTGCCCATGTTCCACATACCGTGATCTTTCTCATTATTCCGGAGCTCGTGGCTCTCCCATTCATCATTATGATGAGACTGTATGGTCACTAACCTCGCCGACTTTTGCGCGTGACCCAGTTTAATGTGCCGGGTCAAGGTTTCGTCTACAGTGTTAGCTTGGCCTCCAGAAGACCTGTTTGCAATCTCATCTGTGTTGCTTAGCTCAGCTATAATAGGACAATCATGAATAAATAAATATATCCAATAATCTTGTGCATCTTTGGAATATATAAGAATTGGATAAATATGGGTTTTTAAATTGTAAATGTATAACTGAATATATAGCCACATTTTCAATATCTTCCTTTGACCAGTTAAAAGGATAATTTAGGTATATTACGACTTTGGTCTTCTTTTCGCAGGGTGGTCATAATTTCAAATGGTTATCATGTAAATCTAAACACCCAAGTTATAGCTAAACCTATTGATATAATAGCCATGCAAAAGACAGCGTTGCTCAAGCCTCCCTGAATAAATAAATGTAAAATGGAAGTATATTCAAAATTCTACAAAGAAGGGTTTGACTGGTAAGTTATCAAATCTAATTATAAATGTATAATAATTAGTGGAGGAAGAAGTGAGTAGCAATATTACACCATAAAATAAGTAATCAAGACGAACGAATCATTCACACCCATTTACGCACCGATGCCACAACCCGCGGGAGCAATTTGGGGTTAAGTGTCTTGCCCAAGGACACATCGACATGGACTAGGGGAGTTGGGGGTCGAACTGCCGATCTTCTAATTGAATGCCGACCCGCTCGTACCACTGAGCCACAGTCGCCCCCAATGGATAACGGGGGAGACCAGAACGGTTGCCCTTGCGGATGGTTCTGGTCTCCCCGTCGTCCATTAATTCCTGATAATGGACACCTCAAAGGGCATTATCCCGCTCATACCACGATCATTTGCCAAAGAAAAAAAGATATTTCTAGTCCGCTCAGCTCATAGAAGCCTTTAGGCTCAGCTACCAGCTAGAAAGCTAACATTATGCTTGCAAGATTCAAAGTCGATAACATTGTTGACAAAGAGAAGCTAGCTATCCAGCCTGAAGGACCACACTGGATGTGCCACTTAATGTTGTTGATTGATGTTGACGATCATCTGTTTCGAAACACTTATCTGAATAGAAACTAGCAGCTACAGCTTTACAAGTACAGTATTTGAGCCAACACTGTCTATCATATTGGACATTCATAACAGTTCCGCCAACCCAGTAGCAGTGTTGATCCTGCAGTCGACATTAAACTGAGCGTAGCAGTTGCGAGCACCGAAAACGGGCAAAAAACCCTACGTGCTGTGGCTCGTAACTCACAAGGAGAAGTTGCCGAGGAAGCAGCGGTTTCTGAGCAGGCCGGCCCACAGCTGGACGCCCACGATGCCGAAGATGAAGAAGACGAAGAAGCAGAGCAGCAGCACGTTGCCCAGCATGGGCAGGGTGTCCAGCAGCAGGGTCACCAGGATACGCATACCTGAGGAGGAGAGACAGGGGGGCGGGGTCAGACAGGTCAAGCAGCACACAAGTTGTTCACCAGGACGCACGCAGTGGACGTGCACTTGTGTGGATCGGGTGTTTTGTTGCTGTTTAGTTTAAAAGAACTCTTTCACATCAAGTGGCAGCTGATATGAGTACTGGGTAGTTTACTTCATAGAGCGGTCGATGTGAGCACCGATCCAAGTACCTCTCAATTTATAGCCGTTCAAGTCTTTATTCATTTGATCAAATTATACACTAGCCAGTGGATGCTAGAACACTTTTTTTCCAGTCAAATAATAATGATACATGGTAGAAATAGTCCCCTATTACACATCACAGTCAAGTGAATTTAATTTCCGCCTCCCTGTGTTTTATGTTAGTTAAACAGCTTAATGAAGGACTGTCAAGACAGTCTCGTTCATTGTGGCAGATGAAGAGCAGTGTTGCGGGTTACTCGTAAACCATATGAGGTCCGGCTCTTCACAAGCAGAAGTGATTCACCGTATCAATTTGTCAGGAGGAGGTTTCTTGCCGTCGGGAGGTTTCTTAGGAAGATATGACGATCAAAGATAAAAGAGTGGGACTGAAATTGATGCTACGTGGTGAGTCACTGCTATTCTACAGATTTAAAAAGGCCTGTCAGTCATGGTCCACTGTCATATACATACATACCACATGTCACTGGTGTATACCAATCCTTGTTGATATTTGCCACTGTTTAGGTGTCATGTGCCGATTCATAGTGCTATGCTATGCCACAAAGTTGTAGTTCTCCCTTGTTTAAAGTTGGCGCCTATATTACCCCAAAATTTCACCACCGACCACCATAGCCTCAGCTGGTTGTGGCTATTGTAGACCTGAACCGTTAGCCTCGAGCATAAATGAGGAGCAGGCTACAGAGATTTAATAAGCTCACTTCTTTCGAACCCAACCGAGTGACATCACTGGAGGTGATTTATCGAATTTCACACAGAGACCCCCCCCCTGTCAGTTTTTTCACATATACAGTAGAACTCCCCACACCTGTTAACTGACTTTAACTGTGCATATGTCCATCACCGCTGCTTTAATAGCAACCACTAAAGTACGGCATTCTTTACATCACATGACAATTCACCTTCCAGTGTAATGTTATGGTGACAGCTAGAGGTACATGCTACATGGTAGTGCTTATGAGCAAGGCACTGAGACCCAAAGACGCTCCATTAGTAACTAGAAGCATTCATTGCATTGTGTCAGCTGTAGGTGTGACTGTGTGTCACTGCGTAGATATGAAGCCGGCCATTGCTCACCGACATCCTTGTTTGGATGAATAAAGCTTTCAACTACATTCGGACGACACGACAAGAGTCCTGAGTCAAACGGAAGTACAGAAATTTGTTAGCAGTCTGTGACTGTGTCAGCAGTACACCTACAGTTTGCTCTGAATTAATACCACACTGAAAGACCTGCTTTTTTCCGCCTTTCATACAGTACATCCCTGATTCTGTCAGCTCTGGACAGTGTTCCCTCAAGTTTCTGACAACACACAAACACACACTTCCTGCTGCCCACGCACTCCCTCTGCTAAATTTGGCTGTGTCCCTCTGCGGTTGCAGCTCAGAATTTGCTCTTATTTTCATGCACTGATTTTCTTCCATCCTTCCATCCATCTATCCACTGGTGTTGTTGCCACTGTGTTATCTCTCTTTCTTTGTCCTTTGTCTCTCTTTCTCTCACCGTCCTTGCAGGCTACCCTCTCGGCAGTAACCCTGCGAGTCAGGCGTCAATAATGAGGATCATTGCTTCTGATCAGGGTTTTTTTGGGGAATTGGAGAGGCCGGGACAGTCCCTATAGGAGCGACGGCTTTGCTCCTCTGCTGGGCTGACAGCCACCGAGGACAAACACAGGAGACGGAGGGAAGGACACAGAGAAAGTGACAGAGCCAAACAGAGAGGGCGGAAAGGAAAGGGGGAGACTTTTGAGCCATACCCCTTGAAGTCAATAATGTAAATGTTATGCTAATGCTTGCATGAATGTATTTGCAGGGCATGTTGATGAAAAATTCAAATAATTCCTTCCATGTTCCAACACCTTTCAACTAAACTGTGCCATCTGGGAGTGACACACCAAACTGCATGAGGAACCTTTCCTATTTGTAGATTGTGATTCCATATGGGTACACACAGAGACATTTGGTGTTGACAGATGTATGGAAAACAAGGAGGATTTTTCGCAGATTCGCCGAGATGCGGAGAACAAATGAGAAGGAGACAGCCGGGAGATGCAGGGAGGAGTGGAGCAAAAGGTACTACTACTGAAGGATCGGAGAGAATGAGTGACAGCGAGGAGCGGCTGCGGGACACGGTGGCGTGTTTGGATCGTCGTGCTTTCACAGCACCGCTCTGTCGAAAGGGAACGATCTGGATACGAGAAGGTGGCAGCAGTGAGGACGCAGAAACTCTTGAAAGACACCCAGCACTGTTTTCGAGTTATTTCAATTCAATAATAGCCGGTGAATAACGGCCACATTATGCACCGGATACTCAATTACCAGCATAACAAACAGCGTATACAATCAGTGTGAGATGAGAGTCATGAAGAAAATACATCTCGTAACGCAACTGTGAAAAAAGGTTATGAAATGCTGTGCTACGGCTCTGTTTATAAGGGAAACATCATGCCATGATTCAAGAGAAGCAAAAGGATTATATGTAAAAACCCTGTGTCAGTGTCTGTAGCCATTTGTTGCCACTTGCTCTTTGTTGGACATTTGTTCAACATAATTGCCCCGAACTCACAGAGAGAGAGATGCATTCAGCCACCGTCACGGAGGTTTGGCGGCTCATGCACAGGCAGACCGGACTCGCTTCCCACAAGAGCAACTTCCTCTCTATCTCTCACTCTAGAGCGTTAATGAGCAGCGCAAGCACACACACACACACACACACGTGCGCGCATACACACAGAGCACGCATTAAGCAGCAGCTCCTTTCGAGTGATTGCCCTCATAGTGTAATGTGCTGAGTAGTTAGGATGCTGCTTAGCAAGCGGCAGCGGCTGGGATTAGTGTCCGCAGCGGGCAGAGGCGCGCTAACCGGCTCCATGCGCCGCGATCCAGAGCGGAGATACATCCCGCGTAAAAACGAGGGTTTAATAATTGAACCGCAACCCACATCTGACAGCTGCACTGCTCTTTCCCTGCATATTCTCTCATTTGTCGCACAAAGGGGTTTCGAGAATCCTCTGAATCTCTGATGCGAAAAATATCAATGTCACAATATATGTCTGAAATTTTAGGGACAGTGTATAAATCTTAAAGGAGCAGTGAGGTGATGTAAAAATGCGAAAGGCTTTCCCGTTTGGTTTGTCTGTTCTGGGCTAATGTAGAAACATTGGCGGTGTAACTCGGCTAATGTGTTAAGCTAATGGAAAACGGTTCTTTGTTTCAAGAAGAAGCCGGGAGTCGCGCTGCGTAGTGAAATTCTGTACGGAGGAGGATGGGGTGGATGACTGTTGTGTCCCGAGTTAGTATGTTATGTCGAATATGCTATGGTAGTTATGTAACAAACTACCAATAAGCACTTCTGCAAAACCACACTGTATGTTATGCAAAAAGAGGGGGACTTATAGAACAGTTTAGTGAGAATGAATTCACGCTGCTGAAAACTCAGTGATTGAAAACAAAATGTGGATTTTACTTATTTAAAGTTATGTTTATGATCAGTTTTTCTTAGCAAAACACACCGCATGTATCTTCAAGGCCGACGAGTGTGTTGAATGTATTCTCCTTTTAGATCCTTCGACAGCTAATGTTCTGGTGACCACAAGAAAAGCAACCTCCTCTTCCATTTCGATTTTACATATGGCTTTTATATGCACAGAACAAGTCAGCTCTTGATTTTCAGTAATGAGAGCGATGGCAGTTAGGGAACCAAAAGGTATATGGGCGTAAAGTATTTGTGGCAAAAGTTAGTTTTTCCAAGACTGGTGATATAAACCAAGGCCTCAAACAATACACCAACTGGACGGGAGCCACATATGAGGACGACTCGTCATTCAGCGACGCAGGCGAACATGAATATCATAGCGAGCACCTCTGTTTATCTTCCAGATAAGCGAATCAATCCTCTCCCGACCTGAATGGCGTGCTCATTCCAAGCGATCGACATTTCATCTTCAATAACAATCATCTCCTCCGCCTGTGCGCCCTCTCCAACCTCGCTGTGGGCGGCCGCTCTGGGTGTGATCGGGGGAGCCATCTGTTCTGCAGGCAGATTAGGTCTGCTGCCTCTGCTCACCTGTCCAGGTCCAGCTCCGGCCCAGCCAGCATTGTAATCTGTGCCCCGTGAACTAATGGGCTTTCTGGGTCAAGGGGGTGGGGGGGGGGGCAGTGTACACCTGCGTCTCTTCTCATTTGCTCCGACCGGATGGTGACCAGATCCGTGTCGGCGGCTCCAGACGGAGACGACTAGACGTCTCCGAAGTGGAGAGCGAGCCACTTGCATGAGCGAGCCATGTGACCCACGAAGAGAGGAGCACATGCAGAGAAATGAGAACTGATGGAGAGAAAAGAGGACGCAGAGCACTTCTGAACTCTGCTGGTTGAGTGAGTTAACTTGTTTTTGTGCACACCAACTAGTACAAAATCACAGTTTCTGATCTCAGTGATTATGTGCCCTCTGTTTTAGCTCATTTCTACAAATGGAATTGGATATAACAATTTCTCTCACCTGTCACCTGTCTCACCACACCTGACCATGTGTGGTGTCACCTGACCAAACCCTTAGAGATAGAATGGTATCCTTCAGGGCAAACCCATTTCATACATTACAGAAACGCTACAGTACCTTAACCCTATCGTCTGTGATGGTTTTCATCTTTGTTTTTCTTGGTTCTACTTTGGCCACCCAACTCAAGTCCAAGTCGCTTTAGCCTCTCAACGTATCCTCATTCGACTGGTTGTATTATATCTTGAGGAAAAGTCATTTTGGTATTTGTCATGCATTTTCCTA